TTCCCCAAACATTCTAAGAATTTAAATCTAATGGGGTACAACATTTTTTTCTAAAACTACAATACTATGCAAGTGGAAATGTTGTCCTTATGTGGATCAGAAAAGTTTGCTTTAGTGATGGCTCGGCGGGCTATTTCGGATCACATTGCCGATCGGTTTCAGGGGGAATGCGTTGTTCCATCATGTACTGTGTTGTGGCAGTGCTCATTGCTGGTGTTCATCCCTCTTAACGTTACGCGTCAACGAATTTGCCGTTTTTAATTTCACCAATTAAGTTAAGACACAATGACCGATCACTGATTAAAAAGAGCACTGCAGTGGCGCAGCAACTACTTTTGCCGCCCGGAGCGGGGATGAAACTTTCGCCCTGGCTGAGGGCCGAATAGGCGTGTGAAGACCACACAATCGGTTTAGGGTTAAGTGTACATTAGTTCTCGATGAAATGGATGGTCGTTTGGGATACTGAAGTGAATGTGGGGAAAGTGACCACAATGGGACAAATAAGGGGTTCGCTGGAAAGAAGGTTTGCACAAGTGTGACACGTAGCACAAACGTGTTATTGGTCATGCGGAGTAACATTAGAGTTTTCAACCGTCAGTTTATCCGGCTATTTTGTCCAATATATTTGGTATGGAAACATCGTGGATACTATAAATGCCGCTCCGTGTCACCTGCCGCCCGCGGCTGACCGCCCCTCCACTCCTCCCCTATGCTCCGCCTATTGATCACTGTGTACTCCAACAATCGCTGGACTCCATGGCCGACGTAAAGGCGACTTGCGCTTGACACGAATAAATGCAAACTGGTTAACAATAATCGTTGCTCAAAGTACGCATACAAGCTTGGTGACCAGGTATTGCAAAGAGTCTCCCTTGGGGTGGGGGTACTGGAAGACTCCGGATGTTCAAAGTAATCCGTGAGGTTCGGGCTATCTGGCCCGCTCATGCTCCCACAAATGCCTGAGGCGCACTTGATATTCTCTTTGGGATACACTATTCATGACTAACATTCCTGGCAAGAACATATCAGCTGTGCTTTTCTTTACTGCAACAGCCGTAACACAAACCTGAAAGGTCATTACTTTAAACTGCGAGAACAGTACAGCCATCCGGAGAGCCGTAGAACTTTTCATTTTATTCTCATTTGTCCCCAGCGGAATGCTCTCTCTGAATCTATCATTTGTGCAATGACTCCAGCCGTGTTTAAAATACGGTTGAATGCCACATTCAACCGCTTACATGTTGTTAATAAGCGCTATCTCTCCATTCTGAGAAATAACTTGGATGTATTAGCTCTCACCTGTTGGTTCAGTGATAATAAGCGGAACGCAGAACTACAGGATCACGAACGAGAACGCCTTCTATTGCTACTTATTCTGATGGTTGTTTTTATTAACCTTTATAGGTTACTTCATCAGATATCCAACTGCACATGTAAAGTATTGCTGCTTAACCAGTATAAAGTCATTGTTCGTTGCTCAAATGGAATTGACAACGATCAATCAAGAGCAGTGTGTTATCGGCTCATTACCGTGCAACTCATGCTGGATGACAGGATGCTGCTATGAATAATGACGCCATCTGCGCCATTTGCTGAAACTCCGGCCTACCTACTGCTTGCTTTACTCCCCGTGTTCCTAGCTTATGCTCACACGGTTCAGGCCTACCCCGCTTTAATAATCGCGCACCCCACACTGTGCAAGTTACTCCAGGGGTCATACACACATGCAGACATTGATTCAGTTCCCATCCCCGACTGCATTTCTATCCCTGTTGTTCCTTTCATCCCACCTTTACCCCGAGACAGATTACCCCTCGTGAAGTTATTCAAAACCCAACAAATTTGTCACTATATGCGCTGTACTGCGAACCAATTGAGTAGCCTTACCGTACCTATCGAAAGAAGTGTTGGCTTCGGCTCACAGACTATGGATTGGGTGGTCTTGTTGTTTGGTGACAGGTAAAGTCAGTTGCACTCCTTGTGTACCCTTAAGCACCCAGCAGTTGCAGAACTGAATGGGTACTGTTAAAGTATGCCCATAATCACTTTGACTTCGACTTGAATACAGTGTGTCCTATACGTTCGGACCGATCTGAAGAATGTAATCATGCTTCGCTCCTTCTAATACCGCACTTTACGCGCCCATGCGAAACCCGAGCATTTCTACCAGTTGTCCGGCCATCCAATCGGCTAATGGTGCTGAACCGCAAATACGTGCAATCATGCACCTGCATTTGGAGCGTGCACAGTCCAGTGCGGAGCGGTGGATTTTGCTGCGAACAGCCATTCAATTGAGGCAGCTGACCCCAAATTCCTCTGCGTGACAGTTTGTCGAGTCATGAGGCACAGGCAGACCACGAGGCAGGCAAACGATCGATAGCTTCAGGTTGCTACGCCGCATTCTGACTATTGGTCGGTAGTACAAGATAACTGATGCGATGTTTATCAACTGCTTGGTTAATCCTTGTCTCAACAATGGAACACTAGCACACACTCCCGTTGGCGACTTATTTCCAACATGAGTTACGTTGCTTGGCTGACTTTCAGCGCGTGCTTATTCTTCTGCTGTATGGTGGGTGCGGGTCAAAAGCTGAAGCAACTGTGTGTAATATAATACTGTGAACGCTGAAAAGCGGCCCGGCGACTATTGTGAGTTGTTTAAACTGCTGAAAATTTTGGATGAAAGTGGGATTGTGTAAAACCCCACAAAAGACGGGCGTCCTCGCATCACCGCAGAAGGCGTTACAGCTTGTGTGGTTTTCCGTGATTGATCCACAAGGGACGATCTCAGCATACGTAGAAGCGCGAAGCATTGTGACACCACCCGATACGCTGTTCACAGGATTTTGAAGGAAAGAAATTTTCATAGGTTTGGGACACTGCAGTTCAGGTTTCGAACACCAATGATCCGCATAAACGGACTGCGTTTTGCCGCTGTTTTTTCATCAAATGGGCATGTATTCCTCAATGCTCACTGTGGCGTCAATTTTCCATTTACCTGGAACAAAGAAACAGCATTTTGGGACTAGATCGAATCCATGCCGAGACAAAGCGACTCGTATGCAAAATAGTGTAGTATCGTAGTTAACTCTCAACTTTGTTTTGGCTTAGACCTGAACGTTTGCTGAGTTGTTCGAGCCACAACCGATTTTGTCGCTTCCATAGTGCATGTCGTTATGCAGCTTCACCGAATTGATAGAGGCTTAACGAAAGCGAACAAGAAGTGCAGCGTGGTGGGTAACAACAAAACAGCGTTGAGGTTGAACGGTTATGCGGTATTAACATGTATACTTAAAGAAACGGTTTGGATTACTAGTGGCTAAACCCAGCTCTTCAACACTCGTCAGGTCAAGTGTAAGGAGTCTGTATACCGGGTGAGCAGCATCATTTGGAGAAACAGTTTGTTCAAGTCAGGCTAAGGGTCAACCGAATAAGTGTGTTGTTCTCCAACTGGTAACAACCATTTCGATGAATTGGAGCGGCATATGAACTGTAATGCATGGATTTCACGAGGAACTAATGCGGCATTCCACGAATCGGCCTGCTGAAAGTCCCACCAAAATTTTATATAAAGTCTGTACTGTGCGAACGCATATGCTTGGCCTTAAGGCTTTAAACAATAAGTTGTTGCTGTAATTTTGCATATATTTACCGAGATTACATGTTTTTGTTTTAATGGCGGTTTCCTGCCCATAATAGATAAGGTTTACTTTCCGTCCCAAGAAGTACTCGCCAAATATTGGCTTTCGGAAGGCAATTTACATGTTCGTCAGGCTATGTGCAACTATACGCATACCTTTCACGGCAGCTACCGTTCAGACATCAGAAACTTCCGTCCTTACTTGTACATATAATGCAAAGGAGCATTACATGTCTCTCACACACCAACTGTTGTATTTAAGGTGCACATAGTAGACAATATCGTTGGTAGCTATTCCATGACTTTATACAAGATTACTTTTTACAGTACAGTCGCATACGTTATCCACTTATGTAAAGGAATGTATTTTATTTTCTTCCAATAGGTTACTTTTAATTTTCGCGTGGCAATTTCATGGTACGCTAGCGGAAACCAGCCGCAATAATCGTATGCCAAATCGCTTATTGCGTATGGCTGACCCAGCCATTCACAGTTCAACACAGCGAGCAGTTTCTCGGTCGATCTGTCTGTCGGTTTGAGCAGGACTCAATCTTAATCCCCCGCAAGACCCCTCCAATACTCAGCGTACACCGGTGCTTGCAGCAATACCTGAATCATTGGTTCATGACCTAGCGGGATACATGATTTGGGGCGGACCGTAAAGGATAGAATTTGATTCGTTTACTATGAATACTAGCTCATAAGGTTGCTTGTGGAATTGACTATAAGACTAGGCTGGTACAATTCCGTCGCCGATTAAAATACAGCGTGTGGATCTAGCTCATTCCGGCTGAATTACACGAGGTTGCAGCTGTATCACCGAACATTTGGACACTGTGTGCTGAAGTAGCCGCTGTATGTTCTTCTAGGCGACTGTCTCTACCAGGTAGGTTCGATGCCGAACTCTCCTTCACTACTTTTCTACTCCAAGTGTGTTCTCAGTATGAACATGTTGCATGATCTTCTAAGTGCTTTGAAAAAAGTGACGCGGATCTAAACGCATTCCAATGCAGTCCGTTCTTGAGCGGCCCAATGGTGTAATCTATTTAACTTACACTAGTGGTAATGAGTATAATGCGCCTGCACTGAGGGATTGCGTGAATGCTGTTTGCACAGTACAGCACAGAGTTTTCTCGTTGCCGCTCTGCCACATTTTGTTGTACACCGCTGGATTTACAATTTTGTGTTTTGAATTGACAAGCACCACTTTGTGACAATACTAGTAAATCGTACTTTTACTCAGAACTTCATTCCGTTCGATGTTTCACGCTACATACTCGCAAATAATTGCGTACATCCAAATGTCGGAGACATCTTTTATCTCACTTGATAGAGCACTCCAGCGGCATTCGAACAAACTCTCACGCGTTCCAGTTCACCACTTTGTGGAGCAGCTATGGAGTAAGTTACGTTTTCTCCATATATTATCAAGTACGGATTGTAATTTACACTCTTATTGCCAAGCTGGATAGATAGAACTTTTTAGACTGATTCGTGCCATCTATCCTTGTTAAGCACAAAGTATTCTCGAAGTCGCTCTTTGTTATGCACTCTCAGTGTGGGCAGCGCAGGACGTAGGTGGACAAATCCTCACTTGTGCTGGAATTCAGCACTCGCGATCGTTCACAGCAGAAAACTTGATCGTGCTGATTTCATGTTATATTACGATTGTTTTCTTTACTTTTACGCGACAGTGACACAAGTGTTGCCGATGGCATGAAAAATGAGTAATAAGTCATTTTTGAGCCCAATGACTTGGCCACAATTATTTACGGATTATTGTTGGAAGCACAGCTTGTGAGCATTGACGACCGAGTTGAACTAATAGAGAACTTTTAACGCTTTAGCAATACCCTTTCCTCACACGGCCGGTTAATCTCTCTGTTGCTTTGTCAAACTCGCTGTTCCGTTCCATGCTAAAGCACAATCTTTCTCCGATTACTTTTGGTCCCAATTGAGAGGGTGGTTGTCTGTATTTTAACAGGGGTTGATTTGAGATAGAATCTGCTCACACTACTCCGTTTGACTTTATGCTGATATTACTAACACATGAAGCGTTTGTATTGCCACGTTTGTGCAAGCTGCGACGGTATCAGGTACCGCTGTTGTAGGCGACATCAAATTGAATCTAGTTACCGGTTTATAACATACGACCAATCACGTTTTCTAGTTATGAGCAACAGATGCAAATGTTTAAGTGAACTTGAGACTGATGATAATTTGGGTTCAGACTGATTTCCAAGCGATCCGTAACACTGCTGGATAAATGGACCGGTGCAGTTTCAGCGATTATTTCACTTCAAATGTTTGGTCCTACTATTTTACTAAATAGAAACGGATTATATTCTTCTAAAGCCACCAGAAAGTTACCCGATCATAAATAAAGTATAGGAACAATGTCGTTTATGTGGTTTTCCTTAACTTGTATGCCAGCACATGGTTAGACTTGTGTAAGCTTCTAGTCGAAATGCAGACACAAGTTTTCTACTTTCAAGTCGAGCATTATTATGTGCAGGATTTTAGAGTGTTTCCGGTTTCTACTCAGTGGATTGCATTTCGTTTCCAATCGAGATGTTGTCGTAGTGACTCACCGCAATCTGAAATACTGTAGTCACCTTTAGCGTCACTTAGCTATAGCAGAAACCTGTTAGGTAACCCGTTGAATTTGACCACGCTTCTGGCTGCCTTTGTTGCCGTCGGAATATTCTCCGCTTTGAATTTATCAGCCATGGGACGCCTTGTCGATCTGGGTCCTTTCTGTGCCCAGGTTGTTCATTAACAAATCATGAATCATGCCAGTTGCCTTAAATGCAATAGCTCACTGTGTTCGGGTAACTACAAGACGCAACCGGACACTGTGCTAGAGGTACATCAGTCTTGATCCTCTCAACGGTGACACAACACTACTGATTTCAACCTCGTTTGGACTTAGCAGGTAGAGATAGCCTGAGCTGGGAGTGGAACTCAGAGCCTTATGAATAACGCCTGATTCCCTGATCACAAAGTCACCGTATTCCTTGGGCAATGCTTAGAGCAGCGGTTGGGTATGTAAAGTTGCCACTTGATTTTCGTTTGTAGTACAGGGTGCTCACTATCCCCTCATGAAATCGATGGAGAGGGATTCCGATTTAGGTTAATATGAACATCGCGGTTGGCTCACATATGCCAACAAATTTCTCTGAATCTGTTTGACTTGTTGAGCCATAGGGTTTATACTCATATTACCTTGTGTTCCGCTGAGAACTTTATCGAACCCCACCACTATACACTTTATAGCACTATATGAACTAGTGGGTTTTTGCGACACTCGCTAATAGCGCATTCTTTCAGGACATTACATTGGCATTCACCAAACACGTATTCATTCAGCCCTCATTCTCACTTCATTACAGTCGATCTCAATGGGAAGAGATTGTTGGTAAGGGCGACTACTTCTCCTACGACAACTTTAGAAGAGCAGCTGCAAAAGAGGGAGGAAATGGATTTCTCTGTGTGGGTAGTACAAGCGATCGAATGCGTGAGTTGGCAGCCTTCCTTGCCAATTGTGCACACGAGACCATGAACTTCACTCACATCATAGAAATCAATCGAATCGGACAACCGTACGGAAAGTATTATGGACGAGGACCTATACAACTGAGCTGGGATTTCAATTACGCGGCGTTTAGTGAACATTACTACGGCAACCGATCAACGTTACTGGACGACCCAGACAGAGTGGCTGAAGATGGCGAGGTGGGCTTCGCTTCGGCTATTTGGTTTTGGATGACACAGCCCAATTCATCCGAATGTGCACACACTAGCATCTACCGCAGCACTTGTCTGCACTCCAACTGGGGTTTCGGGCGAACCATCATGGCCATAAACGGAGTTCTCGAAGGTGGAGCGGTGGATGGTGGCTCGAGATTGAAGGACAAACAGGTGACCAGCCGAATACGATACTACCGAAGTGTTGCAGACAAGTTGGGCACCTCAGTTGGAATTAACGGAGAACAGCTGGACACACAGGGCATGTAACCCCTCAAAAGTGATGGATAACGGATGTTGGAGTGAATACATTATTCACCGTAAAGTATGACTTTTGTAATCCCTAAGCTACGGTAACAAAGCTGAATAAGGGCATCTGAACTCACACTCTGGTTGCATTATGACATGCGTCCATATTGATCAGAAAAAGGAAGAAAACCTCTAATGTAAAAAACCGAGTCTAGTTCATATGAATGACTTAACAAGTCACCTAAAATGTCATAGCTTGTTTTCGCAACCCCGTTTGACGGCGATTGGTTGGAGAACCAAGCTACCAATATGAGAATGATGTTTAAGAGCTGTCGGCGATTCTGTCTTTACACCTACAAAGCAATCGGTTAGGGTTTTGGAGACAATCGTGGTGTGGGCGATGTGCGCTCGGTCAGCTGCTTTCAATCGTAGACAGGCAAAACAGGCAACCAGTGTTTTCCTAATTTTAAGCTCCTTATCTTTGATAGGGGATACCGCGTCGCTACCTAGGTGTGCTTTCCAACAAAGTAACTTAAGCTGTTCAAAAAGTGTCCCTACTCCTCTCTTGGTCATTTAACCATGTCAATTTTTACGCGCATCTCTAAATGGATGACTCGTTAGCTAGTAGCTTTTTAAGTAATTATGGTCGGTGGCTAGAATCCGCTAGCGGCGTGAGCTAGCGCATGGCGTGCTTACAACACAACGTAGTGACATTCAATATGCAATTGTTTTGTGCACTTTAGTTTAGCACTTTCGACCTGGAAATGCAAAAAGCAGTGAAAACTGCACTGGATAGCCTCGGGTAAACAGTGGTGCTTTAGAATCAAGCTAGTGCTGGTTTAATCCGGTCATTTCAAACATATTTTTGCACAAAAGTACATGGTGCTAAATGAAAACAAAAGTAAGCCGAGGAAGTTTGAAGAACTGGGACAATGGAACTTTAGAATATTACACGGAAAGAAGCGTATGCTTAGCAAACGCCGTAGGATGACCAGCATGAGAAGCATAAAATGGTGAATAGAAAACAAAGGGTAAAATGAAAATCCTTATGGTGGACTCACCACACTGTTCACACAGAAACAAATAGAAACAGCCAACCTCAGTTGTGTAAGTCAATTCTAGTTGTGTAACTTTCGTCACGTTTTGTCGTCTGTCAAGACACACAGGCTATATCTTGTAATGCAGCTGGGTTAGGATAACGTCAAGGCGATTTTGAAAGCACAATTAAATTGGAAGTGGAAACAACGTAATTTGGGAGGGCGTTTCATCGCTGGTACACACGAAGCGAGTTAAAGTTCCGTCGATTGTATTGCGTGGCCAACTTGAGCTGGTGGCCCTCTCATATTCGTGTTGTGACTGAGTTGTAGTAGGTGGCGGCAGACGTGGTTGGGGTTCCAAAACATTTCGTAGGTCATTATTAGATCACTACTTAGGCGCCGCTACCTGCCACTGTATAAGTTTAGGGCCTCAGTCTAAGTTGATAAGGAAGATTGAACAGCCCTTTGACGTGCTTCGTGGATCATCGCTGTGGAGTTTCGAGCTCTGTAAGGTCTTGCTTGTGCCAGGGCTGCCACGCCTGGACTTCGTATTCCACATAAAGCCGAACGTATATGTTAACCAATTAGGATTAGGCAAAGGGATTAAACCACCCAAATGCTCTCCGCAGCATGCCACTCAGTTGGCTTTTTGCCTTTGACGCCTTTTCAGCTGGTTCTACGCAGCCCAGATCGGCCTGGACTAGTACCCAAAGGGGTGACTGCCTGCAGGACTTGGTCGCCAAGCTTGTATGTGATGTTCGGCTGATGGCGAATGTGAACCGCCTTACACTTTCTCTAATTTAATTGCAGCAGATTGTGGGGTGACCACTCATACGCTCCGTCCAGGTCGGACTGTAGTGCATCGTGATTCGCTGGGTCGGCGCTCGTTCGCCACATCTTAACATCATCAGCGGACAGCAAGAAATCTGAGGTAACCGAAGAGGTTAGCTCTTTTTTAAAAACAAGCAATAACCGAGGCCCAGTATTGTTCCTAGTAAAACTCCACATTCACCATGAATCCGATCGATCAGCCCGCTTTGAACTCTGACCTTCACTTGATGATTCCGCAAAAACTCCTGATCCACGTAAGGACAGAATCAGCAACTCCATAGCATTCGATGCTATGAAGCAGAATACTGTGGTCTAGTATGTCGAAAGCTTTGTATAAGTCAAGGTAAGTTATGTTTGTTCCTCTGCCTTACTCGGCCGCTTCCGTACAACTACTGCGCGCAACCAGGAGGTTGGTAGTGCATGAAAGATGCTGACGGTAGCCGTGTTGCTAGGGTGCTCTGGTGTTATGGTGTTCTAGATGGTACACTAAAACCTCAGCGATGGTTACCTTCATTACTTTTGAGATCACAGGGTGTAGGACCACTGGGCGATAGTTGGCGGGCTCCGAGCAATTACCGCTTTTGAAAATTGGAGGTATTACGCCATGTATCCACATGGTAGGCAAAATTTGCTCATCGAAGCATGTTTGGAAGAAATGCGATAATGGCACTGCCAGTGTTGTTGTTGATACGTCCAGCGCTCTCGGGTGGATGTCATCAATTCCGGGAGAACTGTAGGTGCGTAGTGAGAGCAGTTTCTTCAACAACAGTAAATGTGATCGTAGAAAGTGTCGAAATTGGAGCTAGGGATGTAGGTATCTGACAGGGGCGAACGTCTCTGTGGAAGGTTGGGGCATACTGCATTCGCAGGGCGTTGGCTTCTTCTTCAGCATTGTGTGCCAAGCCCACTACAGTGTTAAGGGGAAATCTTGCTTCAATTTGCGCATGGATTTAACATACTTATACAGGAGCTTTCGTTATTGACAAACTTACAGGCCAAATGTTGTTAGTGAGTCAGTTTGTCCTCGCGGACAAGCATAGCACAATGATTGCGCTGTATGGAGTAGTCGCTCCATGTTTGGGGACCAGGACGAGCTCTGTAAGTGTGCCAAGCTACGTTGCTTAGTGATATGCGATTGCGAGTTCTACTTCTGATGAAAGTCGAGGGTTTGGTGGAGCAAGCCTTCTTCGTTTCTGAAGCAGATGTGATTAGATTGCCGAAGCGTCCAACAAACTGAATCCAGGCGCAGTCTGATGAGTCATCTTGCAAGGATTCCCAATCGGTCGTCTCAACTAGGTCCTTCAGGATGTTGCAGTGTATGCTATTACATGTTACTTCTGTGTGTGCCTCAGAATATTCAGCGTAACACACATAATTACAAAGTAGAGTGACATGCTCGCTTAACCCTATTGGGGTGTCTATAAGTGGCATGTCAAGCATGTGTTCCTCATTTGTAAGTACGAGGTCAATACTGGAGGTTTTCTATCAACTCTGTACCTGAAAGGTGAGGTCATGGGATTGTAGAGCGGAATACTTGCAATAACGTCTTGCAGTTCGGCCTTGTGTGTTTCGCAGGGTGATGCAGAAGATACCAAGTCCTGCAGGTTGAAATCCCCAGAGAAAAGAACGTGGCTGTAAGTTGGGAAAAACTATTTTGTCAGTGATGATATTAGGCGGGAATCCATGTTTGGAATGGACGATGGGGAGCGATATATGACTGTCACGAAGCAGTTATCGTTGTGTCTGAGACGCAAACGGACCATAGCAAATCGGTAACTCGCGTCTCCCGATCACCCAGTTGTTTTCATTGTAAGTTGTTACGATAGTATAGGATAGCACCATCTCCCCTGCTGGGACGATCGTGTCGGAACAAGGACATTCCCTGAATCGCGATCTCGGCATCCGTAATCCCTGAGTGCAACCAAGTCTCGGTTATGGAGATGATATCCGAAGCGTTTGTTGCCTGACGCAGCCGAAGCTCGTCGACTTTTCTGAGAATGCCTTGGGCATTCGTGTACATACAGGAAAATGTTTCGATTCTCAGCAGCCATCCGAAAGACATGTGGTTAGGATGATATGGTGTGCCGACCTTTCTATGATTGACAAATAGCTGTCGTTTGTGGTATTATTGGTGAGTCGCTTGGAGTTGGGTTCAGGGGCATAGTAATTATTCCCTCAGACAACTCAGTTCGCAAAATGCATTGGTGGTGGTTGCAGCATTGCATAGGACGATTATCAGTTGCTTCATACCTGCTTTCCTGTGTGTATTGCGGATAGAACCCCCACTTCGTTTGTCAACTGCGGTGGTGCTTTAAGTCGGGTGACAGTTTCACTCATCGCTTTGAACCGGAGCTCGGTTGCCATTCTGTTCCGAAGTGAATGCCAACGTTCCAGCAGTATAAGTGCCATCGGCCCAATTTGTAGCACAACCTTCAGTATCACTGGGCCGTACCCTTTGTAGCTTGCTTATCTTGACAGCCTCGAAAGAGAAGTAGTTACGACGTCATTCAAGGGTCGCACGAATATGGCAGCACTGTTCCAGGTGAGAAGCCTTTGCCTCGTACTTATCGCGTTCATGACATTGGGAGACGCCGTGGACAAAAACTTTTCTGGCTGAGGTGGTTAACTTGAACTTTTCTGTTTCATCTTACTCACTTACGCTCGCCCCACGGAACGTATGGAAAGACGCGGACCAAACTGAGTTCTTTCTGGAGACGAAACTCAAGAGCAACAATGCGTCCACCTCGTTGATAGAATTTAGCACAACCCGAAGAAGCCTGGCTTTATCATGGTGGTTGGTATTCGGGTGGCGGGCGATTCTGGTCATTTTGGAGACTTTACAAAGTGTACTGAGCAAGTTACTTATGGTGTTCCATCGGTTCAGGTCATCCACCATTTTCCCAGCAAAGAATTCGATGTGGACTCCGGAACGCTGGTACATATTACAGATAGGGCATTCAACTTTTTCTAAGTGTCTTCGCGGGAGTATGGACCGTGGTTGGGAGACTGAGCGAGTTGTTACACAACTGTGTGACGCTGCCTTTCACATTAGTCTTGGGTGTGGTAATATAAACAGCAGCGTCTTATTTTAGAGTGCACCTCGATGCAACAACGGCCCAGCTGCCACTGGCACTTGCATGTTGCCTGAGTTTCGGCGAGGCCTGCTGGGATGAAGTG